ATATCACTAGATCCTGTTACAGCGTAATATAAGTACATAACGATTGATGTGTACATTAGCATCATTACTAGCTAGCCGCTAGCTGCTAACTGCCGCCTCGTTCATATCAAATCCATGATAACAACAATCCATTACCATGCTGTCATGAACGCGCGGTGCTGTTACGTGTACGCAAATTGACGTGCTTGATGTGAATGAGCATTTTGGTTAAAGTTGCGCATGCTCTATGAGCGCACATACGGGTACTTCTCAGGCATGCTGGGTAATCTGTGACGTTTCACTCTCTCAAAAGGTGGGCCATTTTATCATCATGCGCTAATGAGCAGCTCTCATAGGAATGAATGAGGCCCCGCCTCCCACGCTGTATCCAGTTCTTATTATACATCCATGCTGCAGACTCGCTGTTTGAGGGCTTGATAGCCCACTCCCCCTCCACACTCGTTGCTTTGGAACAGCCCTCAATATGGCGGACCCTCCGCGTGAACGCGCAAACGGAGTGGTAGGGTGTAGGGGTAGGGTGTAGGGGGCGGTTTGGGAATGGGCCTTAATCGACCTGAGAAGCAGCCCCGGTACTTTAGAGAATCCGAATGCACTTTCACTGTCCGACGTGTTTATGATGCGCCAGCGGACGTCATGAATGAGCGTCTGCTGCTGTGGGGAAACTATGGAAACTACAGTTTTCTATACAGCGGACTACAACATGGATGTTTAATAAGAACGAGGGACTACTGTAAACTCATCTAGAGACTCTGCACCGTGCTCTGATGCTGTTGCTTTGCTTTATGAACGTGGACAACAGAGAAACATATTCTTCATGACCAAAGTTGGAATTGAAATAAAAAAGGAAAGTGAAACTTATGCTCGTCACCCTCTCCCTCCGGTCCACATTAATACAAATGATCCCAATACGTATGATTGTATGAAAATATCTTAAAATCAATACAGATGTATTTATTATAAACGTTAGTCCTTAACACCTATCACTGTGTATATCACCATTCAAACATCTTTTAAAAGTTGAACAAACCCCACACAGCTCAGTAAAGACTGTGAAATGTTGACTTTATTTGATCATTTCAGTAAAAACTAACGTTCATATTTCTCTTTTTGATTATAATACTGATGAACGTTCAAAACAAAGCACTTTGGCAACTTACCACATACGTTTTAAAAAGCTTAATAAGCACCGTAACTTTCATGATATAATTTTTCCGTCATAATCGTTTGTTGACTGTTGTGTGACGGCAAATGCTGCGGCTGCAAGGGAGGTCCAGTGGTTCCTAAGCTAAAGGAGGTTATAAAGGAAGTTTGAAACCTCCTTTCCTATCATCTAGAGAATTCGAACGGCACTTATCATGGCTGCCACTGAGGGACTTCCGGGTCATTTCACTCCGTTAGGAAGGTTCCTAAGCTAAATGGACTATTCAACTTCAGCCACAGTCTTTACTGAGCTGTGTGGAGTTTGTTCAACTTTTAAAAGATGTTTGAATGGTGATATACACAGTGATAGGTGTTAAGGACTAACGTTTATAATAAATACATTTGTATTGATTTTAAGATCTTTTCATACAATCATACGTATTGGGATCATTTGTATTAATGTGGACCGGAGGGAGAGGGTGACGAGCAGAAGTTTCACTTTCCTTTTTTATTTCAATTCCAACTTTGGTCATGAAGAATATGTTTCTCTGTTGTCCACGTTCATAAAGCAAAGCAACAGCATCAGAGCACGGTGCAGAGTCTCTAGATGAGTTTACAGTAGTCCCTCGTTCTTATTAAACATCCATGTTGTAGTCCGCTGTATAGAAAACTGTAGTTTCCATAGTTTCCCCACAGCAGCAGACGCACATTCATGACGTCCGCTGGCGCATCATAAACACGTCGGATAGTGAAAGTGCAGTCGATTCTCTAAAGTACCGCAGTCTCTTCTCCTAAGTCCTTTTGAATTCTCCTATCCACTATCCCTTAACCCCGTGACGTTTCACTCAGAGGTCAAGGGATAGACGATAGGGTTAGACGATAGGAGCTGATTTTTGGATTATCCGACCGCAACCTGTGAAATGTTGACTTTATTTGATAATTTCAGTAAAAACTAACGTTCATATTTCTGGGGCGGCATTTTCTCATCTCCTTTCGGTAAGGGAGGTCCAGTGGTTCCTAAGCTAAAGGAGGTTATAAAGGAAGTTTGAAATCTCCTTTCCTATCATCTAGAGCAGTGGTTCCCAAACTTTTTGTGCCCAAGGCACACCAAAGGACAAGTAAAAATCTCAAGGCACACCTATTGTGCAAAATAGCCCTTATAACACGTGTTATCACTCATATCATGTAAAATATCTGTAAATGTGCATAATTATTTACTAATGCCAAATAAAATGTGACAAAGACAACTATATTACTCATGAAATATTTATTAACGAAATATTTCAGAAATTAATTTGAAACTTTATCAAATTAGGCTTCATCAAAGCAGCAACACACTCATTTACACCAGACAGGTCACAACATAAAAAATGAGGCAAAGGAAACTCAGCAGAAATTCAGCACAGAGAACTGTCAATGCAAGAAAGCTGCATTGTCCATGGTCCTGAACTACAAATTATAAATTATAAATGTATTACTTTAAAAAAAAGTAATATATTACACTACTTCGTTACTATCTACATAAAGTAACTCGTTACTTTACTCGCCGAGCATGTACGAACTGCGCATGCGTGAGTGGCAATAACTTTCCTTACCAGCAGGCGGCGGTAGTGTGTATTTGTCATTCAAAACAGGCAACAACCGGAAGACAGAGAAGAAGAACAGACTGCGTGATATAAACAAACAACAAATAGCGCGTGCGGTAGCTTCACCTTAGCATGTGTTCTTTGCAGGTGCTTGTTGAGGTTTGACCACGTGGTGTTTCCAGCAGTGGATAACAGCTTCTGGCCTGGACACAGTTTGCACCTCACCGTCACATTCCTGTCTATTCTTCGGACAAACTCAAAATAATGGGCATACCTCCACCCCTCGACAGTTATCGCTGACTCAGCCATGTTTATGCAGCACTGCACATGGAGATGTGGACGCACAAGTCACGCAGATTACGTACATATAAACCTACAAAGTACTGATATAGTAAATAAAAAAAATATTATTTTTGTGTAGTTGTATATTGCAATAATAACGTATGGTTGCACAAAATCCCACGGCACACCCGGACTTGCCTCACGACACACCAGTGTGCCGCGGCACACCGTTTGGGAACCACTGATCTAGAAGAATTCGAACGGCTTATCATGGCTGTCACTGAGGTCATTTCACTCCGTTAGGAAGGTTCCTAAGCTAAATGGGTTGCGTTCCGATAATCCAAAAATCCATGATCATAACACCAGAGGGAGCTCCACAAATCATGTGAAACCCAGATTTGGCACAAAAAAGGGGGAATACACGTTTCGCAATTATGCCACATCAAGGTGGAACGCTCTTCCCACAACTGTAAAGGAAAGTAAAACTATACTTACCTTCAAAACCTCTCTTAAAGAGAACCTTCGGGGGAGAGCATTGCAAAACTGGCCCCGGTAATGGTACAAATCTCAACCTGTCGTTCAATGGACAGCTTCCCCCCCCCCATCTATGTATATACTCGCATTTTAGACTCTGTTACTAACTGTATATCTGTAGACTTGGTATGTCTTAAATGTCCGGTTAGGATGTAGTTTTTAGAACGAAATCTAAAATGAAAATTGTAAATAAGCAATCTGTATGTAAAAAACCACCTGTATGTAAATTGTAAATAAGCCATCTGTATGTCAAATATGTCTTATATGTCTTAAATGACATGATGAATTGGAAATGGGGGACCCTGATGTAAACAAGACGAAAGTCTTTCTCTGGTCTGCATCCCCTTAACAATTGTATGTTTAGAGCTGTACTGTACTGTACCCAATATACAAGAGTTGAGTAAAGTTAGAACGATATTGGCAGATTCGGATTTCACGGATCAATAACTCATGAACAAAACGTTATTCACACACAAATGATGTCTCCTATGTACCGTGGTAAGGTTGACAACGAACTACAATCATATGTTGATAAAAAAAAAACAATATGCGCCGTCCTCCGAGCTGGACACATTAAATTGGTCTCTTTCAGCAGCCGGAGATGAAACAAGTGCTCAGGGACCGTCTGCAAAGTGCAACTCCGAAAAAAGAAAATACAATAATATTCAATAACGTCACTATTATACAGTATATTTCTACCAAACTCACTACACACATCAATAGTCTCCTGGTGGTTGGACTACAGCAGAGAGTTTGAAAGAATGTGCTTTGGAATAATTTGAATAATTTTGGTGAATATTTATAGTGTAAAATCTTCAATAAATATGGTATAATCTTCAATAGCGTCACTATTATACAGTATATGTCTCCCAAACTCACTACACACATCAATAGTCTCCTGGTGGTTGGACTACAGCAAAGAGTTTGGAAGAATGTGCTTTTGAATAATTTTGGTGAATATTTATAGTGTCAAATCTTCCATAAATATGGTATAATCTTCAATAGCGTCACTATTATACAGTATATGTCTCCCAAACTCACTACACACATCAATAGTCTCCCGGTGGTTGGACTACAGAAGAGAGTTTGGAAGAATTTGCGTTTGAATAATTTTGGTGAATATTTATAGTGTAAAATCTTCAATAAATATGGTACAATCTTCAATAGCGTCACTATTATACAGTATATGTCTCCCAAACTCACTACACACATCAATAGTCTCCTGGTGGTTGGACTACAGCAGAGAGTTTGGAAGAATCTGCTTTGGAATAATTTTGGGGAAGATTTATAATGTATTATAACATACTGTATATTCAATGTTACACATTGTATATAGGCTACAGTATGTTATATATAAATTAAGACATGAAACAACTTTTTCATTAGCTATGAAACAGTAAAATGGTCACAATCTTATGAACGATCCAAATGCAGCACTCGAGAAACCAAACCAAGGAGTATTGGTAATGAACTTTATTTGTAATAATACCAGAGCAGAGGGATAACAGAACAGTATCAGCCGGATGATGGGCAGGCAAACGAACCAGAGGACAGCGGGCAGAAGGTGAGTCAGGGCCGGGCAGAGGGTCAGGGAGCAGGCGAGGCGGTCAACGGAGGTACAGGCAGGATCAGGGATCAGGCAGAGCAGGCAGGTCGGGGACAGGCAGGGTCGGAACCGGGTAGGCAATCTAGTAAGACACGCGTGAAAGACTAGCATGAAGGCAAAGTACGATCTGGCAACGGGTGTGTGTCTGGTGAGGGTTTAAATACTGGTAGTAAAGCTAATGGGTGCAGAAGAGAAAGACAGTGAGCAAAAACGTGGGTGTGGTTAACAGGTGAGACAGGTGAATGGAAAACTACTGGTGAATGATGGAACAGACAAAATAAAGTTAACATTGAAAAATAAAAAATGTCAGGCTTTTCACCTACTGTACAATATTAATGAACAAATCCACAATCTAATGTCAGACATGGAAAACATCATGAACATCTGTGACTACTTTAATCTGTAATTGAAAATATAGTTAACATCTTAATTAAGAATATAACAAGTTAAAACTATGGACAGGTGATTATTATGTCACGATCTGTCTTTATGGTGTTTTGTCTTGTCTAGATCTATCTTTGGTTTTCTGTCTGCGTTGTGTTTTGTCCTATTTAGATCTGTCTGTGGTTCCCTGTCGTTAGTTTCCCTGGTGTGTCTGATTACCCGATTGTGTTCACCTGGTGTCCCTGTGTTTTCTCCTCCCTCCTCACCTGTGTCTTGTTTGTGTGATTAGTCTTGTGTGTATTTAAGTTCTGGTTTTTCTGTCTGTCTTTGTCGTTTTGTCTTGTGTCATGACTAGTTCGTCGGTCAGTGTTCTGTTTTGTCTTTGTTTATATCCTAGCCTTGAAATAAAGGAATTTTCACGTTAATCTGCATTTGGGTCCTACCTGCTTCACACACCGTAACATATTAATCATTACTTCAGTTGCCCAAAATCTTTAGCAAAGCTTTTTTCTGGATTTTTATTTGTTTTGTACAAAATTCAGCTTTCATTTAGCCGATTTCAAATCACTGGCTGGGCTGGATTTCCCCCCACATGCCGTTTGTAAGTGCACTACTTCTACTGTGGTAGTAGTTCAAACTACAAGCCTTACCTCCCCAAATCCTGGTACCTCTGGTAAAAGTTACACAAACTCACCTCTAGCCTCTTTAGTTTGTGAGGATACACAAAACACAATACCACGGGGTATTCTTTTTGGGTATTCGTGCAGCAGGCATTCCGAGGCACTGCGTGTGAAACCATCTCCCACAAGTTTCACACTGAATCTACATGGGGACAAATACAACAAAGATATTAAGAAAATGTAAAGTGTAGGACACTTGTAAAGCAGGCATATTCATTTATATTTTAAAGAGATTATACTTTTTTTTATATACAGTATATATAAATACTTGTTGTTATTCAGGTTTATCTGTACTGTGCTAAAACTTTAACAAATTATAAGAAAAACAAAAGGAAACCTGTAATGCATACAAATATACAAAATGTCATTACTTTTATGTTATTCCTGAAATCTAACTCCAGATGATCTATATATTATCTATTATTCAGATTATCTTCTGGAGTTTAAAAAAAAATCATCATTTAGTCTCACCCAAACAGCATCAACAGCAGTTGTGGGCAGGTCCTCAATTCCACAGAAGGAACAGAAGTCATCCTTTGAAACTGAACAAATAACCGGTGTATTACTGTTCAATTTACAGGAAGCCGTCCATATATTCATTTCATATTTTTGGCTAATACCTGATCCTCTGAGAATTTCTTCTGCCATGTCTCTTCGTAGATGTTGTGATGACTTGATGTGAAACGTCTTTGGAATTTTGGGAAATTCCTTCACTGTCATCTTGGCCATCTGGACAGATGGTAAAATAACATGACGTTATGACGTGTTTTTGAATTTCCCTTTAAAATAAAATACTTTATTATTAATGAACACAACATGTTGCATTAAATCACCTGCATGACAAAGGCTCCACAACTGGTGGCATCTTTCTGGAAGGTGTGGGTTATTTTTCCAGGCTGCCATTTGATGCTAACCCAGTCCTCTTTTCCCAGTCTGTTCCGGCGCATCTTGAAATACTCTCTAGAACAAGAGGAAATAAAATGTAATTGGCGCTTACTCTTTGCCTTTACCAAATGTGCGTTTAACCAATGTATTTCCTGTAATATATTTTATATTACCCAAATTTGTAAGCAGCCTTTCTGGAGTCCTCAACTTCATTTGACCCTTGCAGAGGATCAACCACATAAATGTGGTTTGAAAGGGCATGGAGGTACTGTTTTAAAAAGTAGCATACGGTATAATTAAACCAAACCTTTTTCAATATGTCAGCAGCAACAATAATGTATCAGCTTTTCTTCAAAAATGAAAACCACAGTTATTAAAATCACTTCAACTGTTAAAAAAGCTATTAAAAGTAATACTAAAATAATAACTACCCATTTTAAATGGGTATAATTAAGACTTAAAAGTATTGAAATAATTAAAGATATCAGATGAAAGAAAGTTGCACAATTTGGGGTCAGAAGACTCAAATCTTTAGCGGAGCAGTAGCGACCACCAATGAGAAATGTTTGAATGAGTACTTATTTTGGACTACATGTTATATGGTTTCCCTATGATATAGATGAACGTGAAGACATTAAAACTAAAAGAAGCATTTTTAAATCAGTCCTGAGGCAAAGATGCATTTACAAAATGGGGCTGCATGAGATACACATGTTAGTCTTAACTCTGTCACAGTATATGAGTAATGTATTGCAATATGTTTTAATAGCAATGTATATTTAGTTGTATGCATTTGAATAAATGTAATCATACATCTTCAAAGTAATAGTTGATGAACTTGAAATGTGCAAACTCTAAAAGCAGCTACAGTATGACTACACGAGTAGCTGTATACTCACCACAAACTTCCAGTGCACATTTCTTATATTGACAAATCCAATGGCTCCATCATAGAGATCAAATGTCACCTGAAAAAATTAGGGAACATGTAAACATAAGTGTTATTTTCTATAATATACAGGTGCAAAACAATAATTTAATTTACACAGTATTCATTTTTTATTTTTCTCAACAGGAACAAGAAAAAAAGGGAAGCTTAGATTATAAATGTATTGGTTAAAAACAAAACAAATGTCTCCAAAAACGACATACATATAATAACGCTGGAAGTTGCCTGTAGACACATATCTGTCTCCTTTCTCAAGCCTACAATACTAAAGGGATGAAAATACTTTGAATAATCAGTTTCACTCACCTTTTTTAGCTCTTGCCTGGCTATCTGCTCTCGGGTGCCGTGTAGGATTACACCCATGGTGTAGTGATCCAGGAGATATAGACGGCCAGCATTATCCTTCAGGTTGAGGATGCCTCTAATGTAACATTCCATTACCTTTTGGATAAATTGTAGGGGAAATAGTCATACAAAATGCCAGCTAATATAGAGGCCAAAGTCGGTTTTAATCACATCATTGTCAGATCATTTTAGAATGGATAAATTAAAACTGGTCTATTTAAAGTCACACTCCAGGTGGACTGGCCTAACAATTTACTTGGATATCATTTACATACTTTTTGTCAACAATTGAATCATTAACATATGGCTTACGTGAGATGAGCAGTCCGGTACAGCATAAGTTTTAATAAATACTTGCCTCGCCTATGATGAGTTCGTCAGGTCTCAAACTCTGAAATTCTCTGTGCCTCAGGGTGAAATTATGCTTCTCTTCAGCATGTCTTACAACAGCCACAACAACTTCAGTTGGTTTGCATGTCCAAAGGGCATCAACCTAAAATGAAATGAACAATGGTATCATAATAACTTCGTACAGCATTCGAGATTTCGGCATTTAGATTTTCTACGTTTTTTATGACAGAAAGATTGCCTCATGCTAAAACGTTTTTAATGCATTCTTAACGTTGTTTTTATAGCTCGAAGAATTGCTTACTTTGTTACTCTTTTTAAAGCATACATTTTAATATAGCAAAACAATACCTCTGTTGCAGGCTTGGACCCTTTACTTGTGGGGTTGCTGCTGTTCTCCACATCTGTGCTGCTCTGAATATCTTCACCAGTGTTCAGAGTTAACTTTGCTCTTTTTGGAACTGGAAGAATGTCTGGAGTGGTGTAATATTTGGAGCTGGAAGTGCGAGGCTTTGCTCCATCTCTCTTTGCCCAACCTCCCTTAGATTGACTGATGTCTTTTGGTAGCAAAGTTTTGAGGAGTAACTGCTCAGATAAGTGATGTGCCATTATGTGTTCTCTGTACCTCCCCTGGAGAGAGCCATACATCTTTCTGATGAATGTCGCTGGCCTCAGTCGTCTCTGCTTTTTTAGAATAGAATGTTTGACTATTCCAAACCATCTCTCCACATGGCAGTTTGTGTCCCTTGTTTTACTTTGGCCAAATGTGTCTTCCTCTGTGTCAGTTGCATATCTTTTCAAATTCCCCAACAGCAGCCCACTCCAAAGGGGAAAAATCCCTAGATAGTTGTCAAAAAGGACATCAACAATGCCAGGGCAAAAGTATGGATTTTCATCCTGTGGGGTTTCGACCTCCTCTTTTTCAAGCTCTCCTGTACCTCCTCCATGACCTTCCTAAACTCATATGTGAAGGGAGATCTGCCAACAATTGTGTGGGCATTTCTTCTTTCTTCATCATCTTCCTCCTGAGTTAAGGGACTGTCTCCTAACTTGTCCCCCTCTTCCATGTCGGGAATCCTGCATTCTTTTATGAAGTCCTTCATGGCTTTCAGATGGATCAGGACAGCATTGGAATTGTGCTTTCCAATCAACACAGTGCACAGTGAGCGGAAGATGTGTAGTGCTGTGGTCATTGAAGTAGCATTTTGCAACCTCGCAAATGCAAATGTTGCAAATTCCTTCAAACCCTTGTCTGCAGTCCTTCTCCCAATTGACTGAGCTACAGCTTTCAGCACGTGTGCAGAGCAAATGTGTAGCACTGTCAACATTTTGATTTCCTTCCATGACTTCAGCTTTGAACAGATAGCGAAAGCCCTGTCCAAGTAACTGACAATGCTCTCTTTGTTAAAAGAAAGGAGAACACTTTGGAGCAGGGCCCAGCTGTAGTCTGTTTCTACCTGATGTACTTTTATGTTAGTGTACTGTGACAGTTTGCGGAGGAACTGCATTAGCCAGAATGTGATTGGTGGAATGGAGTGTTCATTTGTCAGCATTTCACAGACTGGGAGGGGAGGTACTTGCTGACCACCTCCAGGAAGAGTGAGGCAGTAATAAAGCACTCTTTTGGTCTGACCTGGAACTTTGGATGCAACATTACCTGTAGCATCTAGATATAGGGTCAGCGGTTTCTTCTTTCTCAGGTGTTGCACAACTATGTTTACTCCGGTTTCAGAATACATATGTACTCCAAATGGGTCAACTTGAAAATGCTGTATGTACCCAGGCATCCTGCGATCATTTGAGTCACATTCCTTAATGATCATTTGTGTGAGGTACATCTCCATGAAAACATCCTCATGGATTCTTTTACCTCTTCTTACTTCTGAACGTATCACTTTGAGAACATTTTTGTTCAGACTACGGCTTATGTTTCCTGAAATCAGTTCAGCAACAGGTGTTTTTTTAAGTTTACTGTAAAATACTTGACTCACTCCTTTATGCAGGGCTCTTGCAATTCTGCCTCTTCTTCTGTTTGCTGCTGGTCGGAATTTTGTCTCATTTGCTTTGTGTGCCATTTTCCCTCTTTGCAGCACAGATATTTTAACAAGGGTGTCTCCCACTGGCTGATTTTGGATTTTAAAGAAGAATTTGGCCCTGCAGGAAGGGAATGTACAAACTGCACAGATGTTTAAGTACGGACTTTTAATTTTCCTGCTGTTGGGAGTTTTTATGTGGTGACTCTTGAAGGCAAGCGTACAACAGGGATTTTTCTCTCGGAAACTCTTGTACAACACGTCGGTCCACGGTTGCCTCAGTTTGTTTGAACCCGTCAAAGGAACAATCTTTTGCCATTTCTTTCTATTTACTGTTATTCCGAACCTTTTAGATACTACTGGCAACTTCCGCCAATGTGTTTTGGTGCCTGTGTTTTTATTGACATCTTGTGCTCCTCTTTGCAAATTCTGTTCTTCAGTTTCTGCCTCATTCTTGTCTATGTCCTCATCTGATAACTGGTCATCTTCAAGTCCACTCTGAGAAGACATCCTTTGTTGTTTGTCTTCTGCCTCATTCTTGTCTATGTCCTCATCTGATAACTGGTCATCTTCAAGTCCACTCTGAGAAGACATCCTTTGTTGTTTGTCTTCTGCCTCATTCTTGTCTATGTCCTCATCTGATAACTGGTCATCTTCAAGTCCACTCTGAGAAGACATCCTTTGTTGTTTGTCTTCTGCCTCATTCTTGTCTATGTCCTCATCTGATACCTTATGCTGAATCATGCTCAGAGGCAAGTCCTTTGAAAGACAGTCTTCAGAACATTCCCCTCCAACATCTCTCTCGTTTTGATTTTCCTCCATTACCTGAACTTCCTTCTGCTCTAATGATTTTTGACGTTTATTGATCAAATCCCTCAATCCTTTTCGATTGTTGGTCCATACAACCCACAGCCAATGACGGTGTTTCTTATCATCATGACCAAAAAGGATTATAGCGAGTTCCGACCAAATATATGAAGAATGTCCTGTATCTCTTTTGGTAATGTGAACACTCTTCAGTCCTCGGACCAATGCTTCCATTCCACCAGCCATTGCCCATAAGTCCTTCCTCTGGGCCCTCTTTCCTTTTTTAACTCTTCCCATTATTTTCAAACTTCCTCTAACCTAAAGGAGGAAAGGCAAAGCGAAATAGTTTTTCTCAATATAAAAAGATAAAAAGTAAACTTTTTAGAAGCACATATAATAAAAAACTGTGTTCAAATATGTAACACTAAGTTGGGTTTTTGTTTTGGTTTGCAAAAATAGTCATTTGTCATTTTAAAATGTGTAATATTACATCACAGGAACAAATAACATTTGTTTGTAGTTTTAATTCAGTAACATTTCAGTTGATCAAATACTAACTAACTTCAGCTAGGTTAATAAAAATAAAAAAACATAATTTTTTTAATTTAATCTGAATGATGGCTTGTTAAAGTATAAGAAACATGTTTTGGTTAAGCTCAGGATATTATGTTTAAATAATTCCACCCTGTTACTGTGAAAAATAGTAACAGGGTAGACGGTAACAAGGTGGACATTTCATGCTAAACTTGGCTATTGCTACATGTGTGATGATAATCAAGCTAGCACTTGTGACAACAGAGAAAGATATTTGATAGATATATTCACATTTTTTTCTAAATGTAAACATTTTGATCAGTTTCCACACAAAATGAGCATAACAGGGTGGACATGTTATGCTTTACCGCAATAGTTAAGTTCGTTAAAAACATTAAAAAATCGTTGAAGGAAGAGTGCATACTTACTCTGCTTCTTGAAGATGATTTTCCCACTCAAAATGTATCCTTCTTCTTGAGTCATACAAATAGTAGAATAGTAAAGGGGCGTGTCCAGAGGGATTCAAATCAGAGTAACAGGGGGGACATTAAAACAGGGGACACACACTTTAAAAAAAAATTAAATCAAGAAAATTGAATTAACAACAATTTAAATTTGGTGAGGAATATTAATAAAAGGGTTATACAATAGTGACAAAAATGTAGAATTTGATTTCTTTGTTTATATCTGTTAGAGAAGTTGAGCAAACATGATTTGGGACACAACAATTTGGCCTACTTGTGCTAAAATCAGACTAATTATTTAGCATTTTGAATATCCTGGGTAAATAACATTGATGTTTTATAGTAGAGGGTAATAAAAATGTAAAACCAAGCTTTTAAAAATAAGCATTTGACCTTTTAAATGCAAAATATATGATATAATGTGTTGGGGACCTAACCACCAGGAGACTATTGATGTGTGTAGTGAGTTTGGGAGACATATACTGTATAATAGTGACGCTATTGAAGATTATACCATATTTATGGAAGATTTGACACTATAAATATTCACCAAAATTATTCAAACGCAAATTCTTCCAAACTTTCTTCTGTAGTCCAACCACCAGGAGACTATTGATGTGTGTAGTGAGTTTGGGAGACATATACTGTATAATAGTGACGCTATTGAAGATTATACCATATTTATTGAAGATTTTACACTATAAATATTCACCAAAATTATTCAAACGCAAATTCTTCCAAACTCTTTGCTGTAGTCTGACCACCAGGAGACTATTGATGTGTGTAGTGAGTTTGGGAGACATATACTGTATAATAGTGACGCTATTGAAGATTATACCATATTTATTGAAGATTTTACACTATAAATATTCACCAAAATTATTCAAAAGCACATTCTTCCAAACTCTTTGCTGTAGTCCAACCACCAGGAGACTATTGATGTGTGTAGTGAGTTTGGTAGCACTCCACTGTATAATAGTGACGCTAGTGAATATTATTGAATATTATTGTATTCTCTTTTTTTGGAGTTGCACTTTGCAGACGGTCCCTGAGCACTCATTCCTTTTCCGGCTGCAGATAGATACCAATGTAATTTGTCCAGTTTTGAGGACGGCGCATATTGTTTTTTTTTTATCAACATATGATTGTAGTTCGTTGTCAACCTTACCACGGTACATAGGAGACATCATTTGTGTGTGAATAACGTTTTGTTCATGAGTTATTGATCCGTGAAATCCGAATCTGCCAATATCGTTCTAACTTTACTCAACTATATACAAGCTGTTAATAAACTTTTCAATCAATCAAGCTCCTAAATTCTAACCCTATATCCTATTCCTTGACCTCTGAGTGAAACGTCACGGGGTTAAGGGATAGTGGATAGGAGAATTCAAAAGGACTTAGGAGAAGAGACTGCGGTACTTTAGAGAATCCGACTGCACTTTCACTATCCGACGTGTTTATGATGCGCCAGCGGACGTCATGAATGTGCGTCTGCTGCTGTGGGGAAACTATGGAAACTACAGTTTTCTATACAGCGGACTACAACATGGATGTTCAATAAGAACGAGGGACTACTGTAAACTCATCTAGAGACTCTGCACCGTGCTCTGAAGCTGTTGCTTTATGCTTTATGAACGTGGACAACAGAGAAACATATTCTTCATGACCAAAGTTGGAATTGAAATAAAAAATGAAAGTGAAACTTATGCTCGTCACCCTCTCCCTCCGGTCCACATTAATACAAATGATCCCAATAAGTATGATTGTATGAACTATGAAAAGATCTTAAAATCAATACAAATGTATTTATTATAAACGTTAGTCCTTAACATCTATCTCTGTGTATATCACCATTCAAACATCTTTTAAAAGTTGAACAAACTCCACACAGCTCAGTAAAGACTGTGAAATGTTGACTTTATTTGATCATTTCAGTAAAAACTAACGTTCATATTTCTCTTTTTGATTATAATACTGATGAACGTTCAGAAAAAAGCACTTTGGCAACTTACCACATACGTTTTAAAATGCTTAATAAGCACCGTAACGTTCATGATATCATTTCTCGGTCATAATCGGTTGTTTCCGTGAACGGCCGACTGTTGAGTGACGGCAAATGCTGCGGCTGCAATGCATTGTGGGGCAGCATTTTCTCCTCTCCTTTCGGTAAGGGAGGTCCAGTGGTTCCTAAGCTAAAGGAGGTTATAAAGGAAGTTTGAAACCTCCTTTCCTTTCATTTAGAGAATTGGAACGGCACTTATCATGGCTGCCACTGAGGGACTTCCGGGTCATTTCACTTGGTTAGGAAGGATCCTAAGCTAAATGGACTATTGGAACGCAACTATGGACTATTCAACTGCAGCCATGCTCTGGAGGCTCGCCTACATGAGACGTTGAAATCTCGCGGGACAAAGACGCCCGCAGACTTGAGAGCGAGGCGCGGCGAGGCGGCGCAGTTCCTCTCCACGGGCTGCGGAAGCGAAATGCTTGATGGGAAACGACTCACTGTTTATTCATCATTCAATTCATTCTATATTTTATTCTGTAGATTGTGTACATTACTTTTCACTGTACTGCTTGTTGCACTCCTGGTTAGAAGCTAAACTGCATTTCGTTGTCTCAGTAGGCCTACCTGTAATGTGCAATAACAATACAGTTGAATCTAATCTTGAGCAGGAACAAATGTATTTACTTAGTACATATCTGACATTAACGATTAAACACATGTGTGCGCATTCTTTATAATTGCAAACGGAGTCAAGAAATGTGAGATCCACGAGCAGAGATTTGAGATCCGCAAGCGCATTTTTGGTCGGCAAATATAAAATTGATTCACAAATGCCTGATCGAAAGTTGTCAATGTTAAAGAGATAATCACAGATCTTTTTTTTATTTGTGAAAATATTTAGCGTATTTGCAGATCCGTTTTACACTTGCACATTTATTTGTGAGTTTGCAAATCTTTTAAATGCATTTGTGGATGGTGTTTTACATTTACAAATCACATATTTACACACAAATTATTTTTATGTTCACACAAATAATTATGAGACATATCTATGCCCATACGGTATGCACCTTAAAGTTGTTTGCAATCCGCCAAAAAACCGAGAGAAGAAGAAGAAGCCGAAGCCGACTCCGAGCTGTCCGACTTCAGGCGATCTTTTTGAGACCTCCCCCAGCTGCGATCGGCTATTCTCGCCTACTTTCGAGGGGAGCCGCAGCTCGTCTCAAACAAGCCTAGTGTCAGTGTTTGCGTTTGCGTCAGTGAGTGAGGGCTGCCGGTGAGCAACAACTGTTGATCCACTTCCCCGCCCACCCCCCCACCCCATCACTGCGCTGTGGGTGATGTCTGGATCCTACTGCCGGAGTTTGTACCCGTTCAGCGGGGAGCAGCACCCGCAGGGACTGAGCTTCCATGCCGGGGACATGATCGAAGTGCTGCAGGCGGCGCCCGGAGGCTGGTGGCGGGGGCAGAGGGAGGGGTCATCGGGCTGGTTCCCCTCCAGCTATGTGCAGGTCCTGGAGGTGAGAGACATTTAATATGTGCTGCTCGTTATTTAATACTACTTCTGGATGTCAATGTGCTTAAATCTTACTTTTAATTTGTTATCCCTGCCACTGAAAAACACATTTACACACACACACACACACACACACACACACACACACACACACACACACACACACACACACACACACACACACACACACACACACACACACACACACACACACACACACACACACACACACACACACACACACACACACACACACACACACACTGGAAGATAAAGGCAGCATTCACTAATAACGGTGGCTGCTCATCAGATTAACCCTCACCCTCACCCCACTTCCTCATTCCAGACACATTCCTGTGAAATCCTCAGGCCTGTTCTCTCTCCCTCTTTGCAATGAAAGCACAGGGTCACCTTCCAATCTCCCATTCTAATCACTTTTTTCTAAAATTATATTATAATTAAAATGTTCTTAATTCTCATAAAAAATATCAATTGAAGAGGGAGGATGATAAATTACAATAAGAACAATTTACATTTTTGGTGACAATGTGCAACACCCATCCATTCTCTTTACACTGGATACTATCCTTCATGTAAATCATAACTATGCCCCTTTCTGAGCTGCTTCTTCTGTCCGTTAAAGGCTCCTGATGGGTCAGAGTCATGAAGCCATTTCTCAGATAAACACAGGACATCTAAATTAGAGTCCAGTGAAAGTTGATGGATCTGCTCACTTTTAGATGTATTGCTTTGTATGTGTAAATGCCCACCCAAAAGGCCCTTTGGCTTATCTTTGGGATCCCAGAATGTTCTTGAGTGATTGATAGGTGGAAAGACACTCCGATTCCTGTTGGTGGAGATCCTAGGTGATCACCGGGTTCACCTGTTTCCTGTTATCCTTTTGAGGAGTACTTTTGACGAATGCACATGGATTATTGCAGCAAGAGACACCCGGGATAGGCCAAAGAGCAATCTGTGGGAAGGTTGTATCCCGTGTAACGCCCACTGTGATGTTGGCTTCATTGTCCGGTGTAGCGCGGTGTGGATCCAAAGTGGATGATTCTCCAGGGAGAGGAGACAGATAGTGATGATCAGTGCGTTACTGTATTAACCTGTTAAGCCCTGAGCCTGTTTTTCAGGTCTCAGGCTCGAAAATGACATTCCCAGAACAAATGACTGTATGTTTAGGCCTGTCACGATAATTAGTTTTGTTGGACGATACATTTTCCTGGAAATTATTGCGATAAACGATAATATCGACCGTTGTAAGACCATTTTAGACCACTGACATAATGATAATATATGATAATAATTCAAGTACATCCTTTCAAACATAACCTTTTATTGAACATTGAACATTGCTAATTAAATGTAAAATAATATTGAAATATATAATAAAAACAAATTAATTAAATTATAAAAAATTAATTAAATAAATCACACAACCAAAACAATAAATTAAATAGACTCAGGCTTGAAAACAGAGCTCTCTTGTGGCCAAAACACGCAATTGCATTTCAAAATACACTACTAAAAAAAATGTAAAATAAATAAAGTGTATATATATAAATAAAGTGTATATATATAAAAATATTAGCACACAAGCAAAAAAAGCTCCTTAAAACAAAACTCAAGTGTACAGGGGCCACTACAACGACCCAGATGCCTCAACAGGCCATATCCAAATCTGTAAATCAAAGATTCCGAGCAAGGACCACCAACATGTTTGCCTCGTGGGGCTTAGGGCAGGATCTCTCTGAGGTAGCAATGTTGCCAGCTGTGCTGAACATTCTCTCTGAGCTAGTGCTTGTTGCACAAATGCACATGTATTGTATAAATATATAGGTTACTTACGTAACCCCAGTTCTCAGAGTAACATGAAGTGAGATGTCTCACTATGGGATGCGCCTCAACGCGTATGCAAACAGAAGCATCAATCTCATTACGCCAATCCTGATTGGCTGGTGATCTTGACGTCAACGTCAGGGAATCCACCCACCCTTTAAGTAGCTTGTGCTACGACGCAGCGTCATTCAAAATAAGCACCTCTTCTCGCTTCGCCTTAGCAAGAAGGGCCTTCTGGTGAGACATCTCACTTCATGTTACTCTGAGAACTGGGTTTACGTAAGTAACCTATAGTTCTCATTCATAACACTCCGTTCGATGTCTCACTATGGGATATTGAAACTCCCGTATTGCTAGACATGCTTATCTCGAAAATCACCAAAACAACCAGAACTTAACAGGTAGAACCCTGTCTCAACACGGGACCCAGCACTGTGCAGGCCACACTTGGAGAAGAGACATCTAGCCTGTAAAAGTGGACAAAAGTGAGCGTGAGGACCTGCTCGCTGCTGCACAAATGTCTTGGATGGAAACACCCTTGAACAAAGCCCAGGATGTAGCCAGTCCACAAGTAGAATGAGCACGCAGGCCCGTTGGTGTCTGCAAACCCTGACTCGTATAAGCCAGAGCAATCGCTTCCACAATCCAGTGGGAGAGCCGTTGCCTGGTAACGGGCTTGCCCTTCTGAGAGTTAGCCCAGGATATAAAGAGTTGGTCACTACAACGAAACTCTTTTGACCTGTCCATATAGATGCGTAAAGCACAAACTGGACACAGCAAATTCGGCCGCTGTTCCTCAGAGGAACACAGCGGCGGAGGATATGCCACAATGTCAATGGGGGTACATGAGCCAACCACCTTAGGTATAAAGGCAGGGTTGGGCTTCAGCGACACTCTTGTTTGCCCCGGGGCAAACTGAGTGCATGAAGGATGTACAGAGAGCGCATGAATGTCACTGACTCGCTTGGCAGATGCCAGAGCCAGTAACAGCACTGTCTTCAGTGACAGGTGTTTTATGTCAGCTTCTTCCAGGGGTTCAAATGGAGGTCGAGTGAGCCCATCTAAAACCACTGCCAAGTCCCATAAGGGCACCAGTGACCTGGAAACAGGGAGGAGCCTGCGAGCCCCTTTCATAAAACGGCAGACCAAAGGATGTTGGCTAGCCGTCTTTCCCTCAAAGCCCACATGGCATGCAGCAATAGCAGCCAGGTACACTTTGATCGTAGAGAAAGCTCTGTGTTTATCAATTAAGTCCTGTAGAAATGATAAAATCACCCCGACAGGACATTGAAAAGAGATGTGTCCTTTTTGAAGGCACCACTCCTAAAACACCCTCCACTTACAGTCATAGAGGGACCTGGTGGAGAAAGCTCTTGCTCTCTGAATAGTGTGTATCACCTTCTGAGGGAGCCCCACTGTATTCAGATTGTACCACTCACGGGCCAGGCCCATAGTGCCAAGCGCTCTGGGTGTGGGTGAAAGATCGTCCCCCCCCGCCTGAGACAGTATGTCCCTGCGTAGTGGGAGCTGCCACGGCTGCCCGCACAGCAGCTGATATATCTCCGCCAGCCAGTACATTGCAGGCCAGTGCGGAGCTATCAGGATAAGTGTGTGGCGTTGTTCTCTCACTCTGGCCAGAGTTGGGGGTATCAGAGCCAGGGGTGGGAACTAGGGATGCTCCGATCGATCGGTCACCGATCGAGATCGGCCGATACTCACTCTCTACCGATCGATCGGTGCTCTCTAAACATGCCGATCGCGAGAGCCGATCGCATGACGTAAAATACATGACACTTTTCTCTGTGTGCGCCAAAACAAGCTCGCCAAAATGGCTTCACCGGTCTGGCATTATTTGAAGGTGTCCGAAAAAGACAGTAAAATAGCGGTATGCAACATGTGTGAAGCAGAAATCCTGCAGCTCTGCCCGCCGGACAGGTAAGCGCAGCGAAACACACACACAGGGAGAACCAGACCGCAGTTCATTTCCTCATATTCCAAACGAGAAATTACGGTAGCAAATCACCCTGTTCTTTACGACCAGAACTATTAACGGGATACAAGCCGGAGGAACCAGGCATGGAGGGAGGTGGCAGAGACAGTGGGTGAAACTGGTAGGTTTTCGCCTGTTTGGGGAGTTTATATATATATATATATTGCTCGCATAAAATCCCCGGGGTTTTTTGCTTTGTATGTCGGGGGCGGGAGATTCTTGTGATTGGTTGTTGGTCGCGTTGCACGCAAAAAATCCCCAAGCTTTCAGACACGCCCAGCTCCAAGATTTTCAAGATTTTCGAAAAGCTGCTGTGTGGACGTACCGTAAGAGTTAGACCTAACACACTTAGCTATTTTATCTACCTCTGGAACAAGCTAAACTAGTTATTATAAATATATGTATTGTTCATTGTCGGGTCACTCATTACTGGATTAGTGAGCTGCATGAAATACTGACAGGCTGTCAGGAGAGGGAGAGAGGGGGGAGAGAGAGAGGGAGAGAGAGAGGGAGAGAGGAAAAGAGAGCGCTTCCGCTAATTTCTCCCGTGTTATTATCCAAAGTGAATGTAAACTTGAATAATGTACATCATTTGAATGTAATAATTAAGTTGATTGTTGTTTGTGGAAGCTCCAGTGAATGAGCCCCATTAACTGCGTTTTAAACATCACTTTAAATGGAAGATTTAAAGTGATGTTTAAATCTTCCATTTAGGCCCCGCCCACTCGATCGGATCGGCGATCAGTATCGGCCGATACTGATTCCGGCGATCGGCGATCGGCCCCGAAATTGGCGATCGGAGCATCCCTAGTGGGAACGCGTACAGAAGGACCGGAGGCCAAACGTGTGCGAGCGCATCCACGCCTAACGGTGTGTTTAAATTGCGCATTGAAAAGAACAGCTGACATTGAGCATTTTCTTTTGATGCGAACAGATCTACCGCGGCTCGGTCGTAACGCACCCACAGCTGACTCACAATCATTAGATGTAGAGTCCAGTCTGCATATAGTGGTGCACCTCTGGACAGCAGATCCGCCCCGAGGTTCATCACTCCAGGTACGTGCGTCGCTCTCAGAGAGAGGAGACGTCCGCAGCTCCATAAGATCAGTTTGCGTGCTAGCATGTGTAACTGGAGAGAACGCAAACCACCATGGCGGTTTATATACGAT